ACATCACATATACTTTCTTTTAACTTATATTTTATATATGCTGTAAAAATGGACGTCCATAAAAGGTGTATAACGGTTTTAACCGTAGAATAAACTGTTTAGATAGAGCCGCCACCAGATGTCAGTAATACCTTTTTAAATGACTTTGATTGTTGGAAGTATGATTATGCATGGAGGTTATTCTTGTCAGTCTAAAGATTTTAAAGCAATGCATATTTTTTAAGATAATTTGTCAGCAAAGCTTGCTCTTTTGCTTTCAATGTTCTGTCATGAGTCAAAATACAGTTTATATTAATGTTTTGGGGTTTTTTGTATGAGACAAACTGTATGTATTTTCATTTATTGCTAGGAAATGATTTATCTTTTCACAAGTTTTCATTTGTAGGAGGAATTAAGTTACAAAGGTTAGAATCAATATATAATAAAGTACTGCATTCCATAATTACATTTTAACAAGTCTATTAAAACAAGAGTTGGTCAACGAGGTTGCATTAATAATAATTTATTTTTTAAGCATACAAAAACACAAGGATACCCAATCTCCAACACAAGAGATTACAAGCACAGGTGGTCCTGGAAGGTGGTCTGGAGAAAACTGATGCCTAAGTTAGGACTTACGGCCAACCGTTGGTCATCGAGTCATTGTACAGTACCACCATGATCAATCTATGGAACATCTATTTTCAAATATTTTCTAACAACCATTAAATCCCTAAACTGCTGCTTTTAAACAACCATCCCCGGATTATCCAAAAGTATCATCCTACTTTACTGGGTGTGTCAAAGTACTCAGTCTGCCTGCCACAGCTGTCAAAAGAGTTCCTCAGATAAGCAAGGAGGAGCAGGTGGCAGTCAAAAGGCAGAGGCCTTGGTGACTTGGCTCTGGTACATGGAATTGTAACATCACAGGGAGGGAAGGTGCCGGAACTTGCGCAGGAGGTGGAGCGATACTGACTAGAAAAATAGTTGGGCTCACCTCAACACATAGCCTGGGCTTTGGAACTCAGTAACTGAAAAGAGGATGGACTCTTTTCTACTCTGGAGTTACCCACTGGGACAGGCAGAGTTCTGCGGTGGGTCTGCTTGTTTTCCCTTAGCATAGCCATCTTGTGTTGGAGTTTACCCTGGCGGGCAATAGGGCCGCATCTCTTTGCCTTTGGGTTATGGGGAAGACTAACTGTTGTTTCTACCTTTGAGACAAACTGTGGCAAGTGTCCATACACACTGTGAAGGGTTCTACTACTGTAGCTGAGCAGGATACATTTCTAAACTGCACTTTTTTTCTTAGCTTTTCTTTTTTTTTCCAGCAGTTGGATCCACTTGTTGTTAACAGTGTGTACAATCATTTATAGAGTTCTTTCAGACTTTCACTAGGGTAAATATCAGGCTCCTGGGCAGCCACATAGGCTGCCCAAATTCTGTCTGACGTCTTTGTCTTTATATTCCTAGTGTGAGGAGTCCTCTAAGTATTTTAGGACCATAGGGGGTTTTTGTTCTGGCTGACTGATGTTTTATGTTATTGTGGTCTCTCGCACAGTAATACACAGCAGTGTCTTCAGGCTGCATGTTTTGTCCATTAAGAGTTGCTGTGTTTCTGGAAGAGTCTATGTCGATGCTGAACTTATTTTTTAGTGAATCTTTATAGGATGTACTTGAGCCAACTCTGCATCCTATCCACTCCAGTCCTTTGCCTGCAGCCTGTCGGATCCATCCAGTCCAGTAGCTTGTTACAGAATAAGAGACCTGACAGCTGATGGTAAGTCGCTGACCTGGCTGTACATTGACAGAGTCTGGCTGTGTCAGCTGTTCACATTTCACACCTACTGGTACAAAAAAAAAGGGACAATGTTTTCCAGCACTGTTAAAATAACTTTGTTAGTCTCAATTGATGCAGAGTTACTTACATGATCCAGCTGCCAACAGCAGCAAAATAGCTACAGGAGACATGTTGTGCTTTGGAACTGATCTTACTTTCAGTTGACATGAGGTATTAATAACCCAGAAGCAGGAGGTGCCCAGAGAGTTTGCATAAAATCAAACCACCCTTTACAATTAGTGATAGTTTCATCTAAAAAAACAAAAAAATCTGTCTTATATGGAAAATTGCAAATTAAACAAGTTGGCTAAATGTTGGTTATAATTATTTGATGAGGAAAATTTCTTCATCTCTGTCTATGTCTGTTTGCCCTCAGCTAATCCCATAGTTACTTCTACATTACAGAAGCACTGTCAAACTTATGTTACTATAATTATTTTTTAAACTTTGGTAAAAAAACCAATGAATAAAAAAAATAAGAATTAGAAGCAAGGTTCCAATATAAATATGCTACCTTATACAGATACTTAATAGCTTAAAAATGTTTGATTTAGAAAAAAAAACTTTATGCCAGGTGTTGAAAATAACAGTATTTAAAGTTAGTGAAAAAAAACTGCAAGTGTATGGCAAACCTCCCAGTAACACTTAAATTGTTTCATCTATAAGATCTGTTTACCATAAAGTCATCTTCAACTTTATCCACACCCTCCCACCCCAAAAAAGGAAAAAGTATTGATTAATAAGAATAATTTTGTAATGCCAACATGGGAAAATCACTAGAATTTCAAAAAGAAAAAAAAAAACTTTTGGAATCAGGATTTTTTTTCAAATAGCCCTAAGCTTCTGCCTGTCTAATGAAGTGCAGGCTGTGGCGACTGAATGTGTATCCAGAAATTGTACAAGTTCTGTTATGGTTCTCAAAGCTACATTTTGCTAAAAATATCTGACGGATTGACTGCCTTGATATTTAGCCCACTCTGAGGGATTTTCTTCATCTCTATAAGTAAATGTCACACTTTGTTTTGCTAAATTTATATAAACTCCTATCATACTGACAACATGTCTTTGGGGAAAATGCTATACCTGCAACAATGTGACTACAGTGAACTTGATCACAATAGATGCTGGTCTACCCTTTTGTGTATAAAAAGATGCATGAAAAGAACTTTCAACTCTTTTGACATAATTGTTTGATCTAAAGAGGAATTATGTCATCGTGTTTTGGTAATGTTAAGAAAAAAAGAAAATCTGTTCAATTAATTAATTTAAATTAAATCTCCTTTATAAAGCACCAATTCACAACACATGTTATCTCCAGAAAACTTACGACTTTTCATTTATCTAATTGATGTTCATCATAAAGGTCAATAAGCAAAAAAGCCATGTTTACTCCATCAATTATAGATGCTGCTGAACAAACAGTTAAGAGTTTTACTGCCCTCTAGTGTTTTAACATGGGAAGTTACAACACACTCAGTCACATTCCTACTTCTAGTTTTTGTTGATTCTACATTTCTCTTTCCTCTCTTATCTAATTTTTCAATTTTAAATCAAACAACCCCTGACATGTAAAAAAAATACCCAGGTGTTCAGTCTGCAGAAGCAGTTTTTCTTTACTAGATGAACTTGGTTTTCAAAGCATTAGTTCAGGATAAGCTCCTACCTGACCACATAGTTAAAATCCAATTTATTGTTTTTCCTTCGTGTTTTCTTATCAATCCTGTTGCATAACTGCAATCAGTCAAAGAGTAACCAGAGATCTGACAAGGGGATGGTCAGAGACTATCCAGGCTGCAGAACATGAAATTGTGGCTTAAAAGTGATCAATACAACAGGGAGCTGTGAAAGCAGAAAATAACATAAACATCTTAGCTGTGTGAAGATTTACAGTCTTGAAGCTAATATCTACTATCTAATATCTATCTATGCAAAGAATATCATGCAAAGAATATTATGCATCTCTATGTGTCCCATTGTACACAATTGCTGCAAAGTCAGGGATGGAAACATCCTAAAAAACACAAAACTCACATTTGTTAGTTGTTTAATATCCCAGGTACACAGTTCTAGTAATTGTGCAGTTAATTCTTATTTTGTATATTCATACTTAAAAAATTAAAATTTGATTTCTCAAAATCCACATTTTTTTTAGTTCATTTGAGAATAATTGAATTATTTATCCATTATTTATTTTTTTAAAGGGTATGGAGGTGTTCATAATGATTACAATGTTATGGATTCATTAATTTTGATACACTTTGAAATAAACACTATCACAATATCTCAGTTGATGATTGTATTTTTTGTTACACATTCTAATACACATCCATATTTATACAGAAATAATATGACTGGACCAGAGCAAACTCACAGCAGTTCAAGTTGAAATATATGAACATATTGCAGAATTGAAATACCTTGATAAATTGTTGACTATAATATTGAAATCTTGCACAAATGACTTAGACAGTGCCATTAAAAAATATTTAATTAGACAGTGCCTTCACACACATTTAATTGTGGCCCATCATTCCCAAAATTAATTCCTGCATAAATCCAGCCCTTAACGTATACAACAACAGTCCTGTGTTTGAAGGACACCAGAGAGAGACAGGTTTTGGACTCACAGAAGGACGCAGGCCACTTTGCCTTCCTGTTGCTGAAGATGCAGTCAGCATCACAGATCATCTGAAGCATTAAGATGTGTTCAGATTATTCAGTGCACATGATAAATGTAAGTATTTGAGATGCTTAATCATAACTCAATCTGACCTTAAAGTTAGGATTTTCTGTTAGCAAAATCACCTTAATGTGCTTCTATTGTAGAAACCCTCCTTTATGCAGTTTATTCTTCTAAGGCATCAGGATTACTTAAACCTGGCTCTTAGCCTGGTCTGGAGCAGGTAACCTATGCGTCACTACATTTGTGAAATGAAGTCGAGGATAAATTACAGTAAGCCTAGATATCCAGAAGATCCCATCTAAATCCTTTCCCTTGCTTTTGTGAAGAAGGCCCCTGCTAATATTCAACTATTGTTATCTCAACTAGAAAATGTTTTGACAAAGTTAATGTTTTTTGATCGGAATTTTTCAGATAGGTAAAGGGAAGATGTTGATAGTTTTTAGTGTGAGACAATTGATGAAGTCAGTAACTTAAAAAAGGGTTAGGGTGGCAAAAAAAGACTTTCAACCTTACTGATTGAACTAATAGAACATGCTGACTTAAGGACTTTGATATAGTGAGCAAGTGGAATTGTTCATGTTGTTGCTTTCAGAGTAACATTGAAAGAAAGGTGAAATCATAGTCTAGGCTACCTACCAAAAATGTATTCATAAGGCGTAAAACAAGTAATCTTATGTTTGATGCAGTTATAAAGATGTACCAGTAATTTTAAAAAGTTGTGCCAATGTCTCTCTTCTCCATCTGTAAAGCTACCTAACTTCCTAGAAAGGTTCCATTAAACATCCCCACTGGGTTTCCAGATAGGTGGTAGGATGTTGTTCTGACCTTTTGTATCCCAGCTAGGTTGCACAGGCCTTTGAAAGTTTTTTTATTCAAAATGTGCCCCTTGATGGCAGTGCAACTTCTCTGGATCACCTCATTGGATGATAACATTTTTATACAGGGTTTTGGCTACAGTTTGAGCCTTTCGGTTGGAAGTAGGAGTCACTACAGCATGTTTTGTAAAGAAGTCGATGATGACCAGGGCATCTTTAGTATTACTGCACTATTTTGAGTCCAGTACTCAAAAAATAAACACAAATTAACTCAAGAGTCCCTGTAACTTGAAGATTCCCTACAGGTGCTGCCTTCTCTGGAAATTTTTTCTTCAAACAGACAGACTACAACTGGGTTTTTTGTGTTTCCAACTGTGTTTGAGGAGCTTTTTGCCCTGAAAAATCATTTGGTTCTGGTTATGTCCAAGGTCTAGTCTTTCTGAAGGCTTTTTAGCACTGTTTGCCCAAACCTTTCCAGGAGAACGAATCATTACTGGTTTTTCTCACCTACTTGCCTTTGTTTTCCCCATTCTATAACTAAATTTGTTCAGCTCATGCAGAACTGAATTATGTTGAATTTCTTTTTCAAAGAGTAGAGGAATGTGTTTTACATACTTCAGGTTGGTGTAGGATTTAATTTAAGACAGACTGACAGATTCTCTCTCACTCTTTAAGGGATACAAGGTCCTTCATGCACATTTTCCATTCTTTATCCTATTGAGTCATTTGTTGGGATAAGCTAAAGCTATTCACAAAGAGGATTTAAATCCTACAGTGTAGTTTAAATTCAAAATTCATAATGTCTTTCTAATTTTCAGTCACATTTCTGATTACAAGGAAGTAAAAATGTAACAAGCAGTGATGAATGGCAGAGTACATTCTGGACAGGTAACAGATTCCTCTCAGGGCCAACATGAAGACAGATGAAACTGAAAATTATGCAGACTTACAGGGATATTTTTAACACATCTTGAATTAACCGTCTACTGTATAGATCAGTGCTTTTTCAATAAACAGGGAAGCTCACGTTGTTAAATTGAATGTTAAATAATTTTAGCATTTGACAGAAAAGCTGATTTACAGTAGGTGAGATCCATGAGGGAGTCTATTAAGGTGACAGGGTCAGCTAAATTACAGTTTTAAATAGATATACATTTTATGCATGTATAGTTAAGAATTAAAGCAATAATAGCTAAATCTAACAGTTACATAGATAACAAAATATTGGTTTTTACCCACATTTTTTTTTTACAAACCACATTTAACTTTAAAGCAAATGAAACCATTTTCTATTTAAACAAAATCATGGATTTAGCTGTTTTTGTTAAATCTGTAGAACAAATTTGTAATTTGAATCTGATCAAGATGCCCTTTCAGAAAGGGCCTCATTAAGGCTTTGTATCGATTGCTTGAATATTTGTTCATAGATTACGTATTAGTACGGATGCTATGGTTTATTATAAAACTGCATAATTAAGGCTAAAAAAAATTGGTTCACACGGAGAGTCAGTTTATTCTCTGATTCAAACAACCTTATTTGATGTAATGGAAATATACTAATTTTTTATCCTTAAGTGTAAATACAATGTATAGATTTATTCCAAAAATTGCTCTCTTAGCACAGTGTGAGAGC